GAAAGATCAATATTTTCTGTCTTTTAAGAAGCAACACTAAATTCGGATCTACTCTGTACGAGTACAAGAAACCAATTCGCTAAGGATTTCTGCTAAGTTGAAAAGACATGTCGTGGAATGCAAATTTTAGATTCCTCATGTCTCTTTTAACACCTTCATCAACGTCTGTTTTGCTTTGCAATTTTTAGAAAGCACAGATTAAAACAGAAATCCGAATTGTATTTCGAAACTATTTTATTTTACGGATCAAAATATTGATCTTTCACGTTGACAACGCCTATGAATAACTGTTCTGATGAGACCTAGTAGGTCGAAATACGTATCAACAGATACATAGGCGCTGTTTGCGTGAAATAAAATATTTGCTGGCTTTTTCATTGAAATGATAAACCTTTATTTATCTATGTGTGAAGTCTGCCATTAAAATAAAATAAAGTAAAATAAATGAATAGTGGGTGACAAGTAGTATGGTTTACAAAGAACATCTAACAAAATTTATTTATTATGCGCTTAATAATCTAGAATGCGAGAGAGGTGGATTATCATTTCTAGTTCTTCTTTTTATGTAGACATGACTCTGTTTGTTTTTCAATGAGCCTCCAGTAAGTTGTCCCATCGTTTTCGTGGTGTTTTGTTTTTTTCAAGTGTTTTCATATCTGCTTTTTCTAACATTATTTTTGTCCTCTCTGTGTCAGGTTGTGTTTCTGTCGCGTATGTCATTACTGGTCAAATGATTGTTTTATAAATTCTGCCTTTCAGTTCTTTTCACTTCAGTATCCAGCTTTTCATCGCTAGATTATGTGATGCCTAGATACTTGATCTATTATCTGTCCGTCCAGCTCCAATTTATATCTTAGTAAATTTGCTGTTGTAACCATGCTTTGGCCTTTTTTGGGGAAATTAACATGTTAAATCTTCTGGCGGTTATATCAGATTAGTGCAGGATTGTTATTTAAATGATATATTTCTAACTATAACAGCGTCGTGCATTCTTCAATCTAATAACAGTAGAAAGTTTGTCAATAATATTATTAGTTTAACAGTCTCTCGCCAGAACTCAAAATTGTGCACGGAAAGCCCAAGAACAGTCAAGCCAGGGCTCCATTAAACGTGCCATTCGATATTGAGAATATGATAGGTTCATGGATGAAAAACGTTTTAATAAAATAGTCAGAAGTAATAGCAATTTAAAGAATTATTTAGAATAGAACTCAGAGTAGGGCTTTTGACTTCATATTTGCCACAAGAAATTATAAATGAAATTCGGGATAAAGATGACTTAAGGAAGGTAATAATAATTGCAATGTTAACCTAAGAGAAGACAGTGGTAGTAACGTTAAAGAAATAAGTAACTATGAAAAAGTTCCTTTATCTGAATCACATTCAAAAAGCTAGAAAAATATCGTAACGGATTGCAGTTACGAAATATTCGGTTGGATTTATTAATACTTTGCAATTTTAAGTACCACCAAAGTACTCCATATAAGATAAGATCTTCCTTGTTCCTGATCTATATTTGCTTTATCTCTCTTAGTTTGCTGGAAACTCTGTTTTAGTTTTATTTTAAATACGAGGAGAATATGGTCTAAACCGCACATCGCCACAGAATATAGTCTGACTGTCTTGATGTTTGAATCCAGTGTGCATCATAAAAAACTTATGTAGGGCAGTAACTAAAATTTCTACACGAATTTTGGACTCAAGGTAGCCCCGATTGACACCCGGACGCCATCACGCTTAATTTTCCTAAGAATAATATTGCAATCCATTTCCCCACTTTCTTACATCGTAGTATCATAATCATTCTAGTATTACAGCTTACTTGTAAAAGTAAAATTAATATTTTTGTGTTATGGGGCTATTAAATAATTAATTGTAGAGGAACAAGAATAAAGATCCCAATACCTAAAACAGGCTACTGTGAAAAATGAGGAAAAAGCCTAGATCTGTTTCAAAATATTCTACCATGTTGACATTAGCCAAAACACCAGTTATTTAGGCTGTTGCAATATTATTCATATCACAAATTTAATAAGATGTAATAGCATGAATCATTTGGTAAAACTCACCAAAGCCAACAATATTGGTAAATCGAGACCGATTGGGACAATCACTGTTTGAATGCAAGCACGAAGAAGGTACCAAAAATAAAACAAACAGGATCCTGTATATAAAAGAAAAGAAGATAGAAAATAGCAAAAAATGGAATTCGAAAATTTACGCATTAAAATACATTTTAAATAAACGTACGAGAATATTAATATTCTAACGTTAATTGAATAACCTTAAAACTTAGAACCGTCTCTTTTGAAGGATAAAATGTAACTAATATTAGCATAAGTTTTAACCAAAAACAAGAAATTAAAAACTAGTATATGATAGCTAATAAAAAAACCCTCATTAAATTCAACTGTTTATATTATGTCTGATTGCCTTATTTAAAAAAAACAGAATTAGTTTTTAATCGACTAAAGGGAATAATTCAGTAGTTAAGACTAAACACTAGAATATTAAAAATTGCCCAAATTGACAAGAAAAGGCAGAATTCTAGGAGGCAGTAAAGGTTAAAACCAGAAGGAAACAAAATGTTAGCTAAAAGAAGAAGACGGTGGTGAAATTAAATGAGCAAAAAATTTAAAAACAATATTAATTTTTTTTCTTCCACTTCATTGTATATATTAAGTGGAGTATGGAGAAGTTTATTTTTCAAAATGATGAAATGTGATCCTTTAGTTTTGTATGGTCTGTCATTTGTTTGTACGTCTATTTATTATAATCTAAAACTGATTTCATTTATAATTTCTATATTATCAATTATATTTAATTGAAATATACCAATTATTATGAGAAACCTCTTTTCTTATGTCTCCCAGTTTTTTATTTCCTTTCTACTTCTCCTACCCTACATCTGAACCAATCGGTGTCGATCTAGAACTTTTAGCATACAACTCAATTTATTTATTTATTTTTTTAATTTATTTTGTTTATTTACAATACTGATTTTACTATTTATCTATAAACGTATTTTCCCAATTTTGTTTATCTGACCAAAAACTATTCATTTTATAGTCCGTGAAAAAACGCGATTAATAAACCATCACAGAAAAATGCACAAAAGAAAGTTATTACCTGCACTACACAAATTTTTCCTTTGTTTCTTCGAACAAATTAATCTCTAAATTACAATGTAAAACTACCAATTTATCTATATACACACAGTAAACAATTTTTGGATTTAAATTTTAATTTTCCCACGCATTGAAACACTTATAGCATTTGAGAATCATGACAACTCCCCGCCATTTGATGAATATGAAACAAATTTTGTGAATCAAATATTCCATTCATTTTTTTTATTTTACGAATTGTATAAAAAGATTTTATTTGTCAAAAACTATGCTTCAAATCTACCTTCGAAAATATATGTGATTCTTCCAAATATAGCCTCAACATTATGTACACCTCAATTGTGTTCACATAATGAGGAATCATATCGCTCAATAATCTGATCCCTTAGCACGTTATCTATTTCTTTATTAAGCTCTTGTCGATATTTGTATGAAATTAGATAGATTTTTGATCAACAAGTTTTGAGGTTCTTTGCCTTGAAACATCCATACCATTTATCAAACATTCATAATTATTCAACACTTTTTTCGTTCCTTCTCCGCAGGTTATTTTTCTTTCCTTTTCTTCCGATTGCTTACACATGTAAACTTTATAATACAACTCGTAATGAATATCCAATTTTCCCTTAATTACTAGCTTTTCAGGTTGTACCTCTCTTTATTCTTTATGAAATTTCGTTTCTTTTCTATGTCGTTCTCTTTCTCTTAATGCTTCACTCTCCTCTGCTTTTTAGTCTTTTTCCAATTCGCATATTTTATTGTCATCCAGGTTTACGTTTTTTTGATGAATCCCAGGAATCCATTTTTCTTGATTTTCTTTACCTATTTTTCTTGTTTTTCTTTAACTCTTCTTAATTTTTTCCTTATTGGTTATTTTGCTTGTTTGTGTTGATTGTGTTTAATTGCCATCTTAATTTCCTTTTCATTTTCTTTGTTGATTACTTCATGGTGTTTTATAGTAATTATTGTTCCCTCTATTTTCAACTTCTTTTCTTTAAAGCCTATGGATACATGTTTCTTTGTTATTTCATCTACTCCGCCCAACAAGTCGTGACTCTGTCCTTCCATTAGTACGCATTTCTGAATGGCGTATTCCTACCAGAATACGCCATTTTGATCGTTTTTCTATATTTTAACAAAAAAAAATATTTATGTTTAAGTATAAATATATACCTTTTTAAAGGTAAGCGAAAACTCACAAAAAAAATCAGATTCCTCGCACTAAATTGATAATATTTATTAAAACAACGTCAAAGTTTCTACAGAAAACACATAGGTTTTTTTATTATAAATATATATTAACGAAAAAAACTCAAAAACGTCCAAATATCTGACTATTAAGATGTCTCAATAGCCCCAGTTATTTGGATGGTTAAATTTGGTTTATGTTAATATGAACTAGAAAAAATTCTTCTAGTAATTCGAGTTCTAAAACTACTGCATTGATAATTATAATTATAGTAAATCTTTTTAGTGTTTTCTGTTTTTATCCATTAGCTTAATATATTTGATAGAAAAAGGATATAAACTAAACTGTTCTAAAGATCTTAAAGAGGTGAGACGGGTTTAAATTTCATAAATAAATAAAATAGTGAGAAACACTTAATAAAAATATGAAAGTGTAAACATTACACACCAGAGTCGAAGACAAAAAAAAATAACTTAGAAAACAAAAAATTAATAATAATTGAAGCTAAAGACAATGTGTAAAATTAGCTGAATTATGACCGGATAGCAGACGGCTCCCAGAAACAAACACGAAGAAGGTAAGTAGAAGCAAAAATGAAAATATAATAATATAATATAAAAATAATAGTGGCATCACCACATGAGTAAACTTTAACAAACTAAATTTTAGAAATGTAAACTTACCAGGATATTAATATTTTAACATAAGCTTTATGACAACGTTAGAACTGTCTTGTTTGAAGGATAGAAAATAACTAATGTTAACATAAGTTTTATGAAACAAACCACAAACAACTATAAACTAGTCTTATATTTGCTAGTAAAAAATACCTTATTAAATCCTGGTGTTTACGTCATACCACCTTATTTGATCTGACGCAAAAAATAACGTCATTGAACATCTTATACCAGATACACAAAATCAAATTAACATTTTTTTTTGGATACCGAAACACCGGATGGATACAATTATTAAGGTGGTTATGATGATCCAATTAATTATCAGATCTAAAAAACACATAAAAAATTTTGACATATTTAAATTTTTAATATGAATTCAGCAACTGTCTGCTTCTTTTTAACATGTCGTGACTGCTAACGATCATTGACTCTAATATTGGTTTAAACTACATATTTTCGTTTAACCATGATGTCACCTTTTCTGTATTGGCTAGCGCTGTTTTCTTTAACCAGGAGGTAGCACTTCCTTTAATTTTTGTATCTTGTGTTTTATCTTATATTTATGTATTTTACAATGGCATACTTTTACTTATGTATTTAGCATTACTGTGGTTGATCATCAGTCTTTAGTTTTTTTATGATTTGGCTGTTTTGTTCATAATAAATTAAAGTGAATTGATACCAAAACTATCAAATATAGCCTTGATATCTAGTTTTTCTGGGAATATCTAACCGCTGGAGCCAATAATATTTTTTATTATAAGAATATATTTCCGTCTAGTTTATAGTTTCTAGAAATTTTTAGCATGTAGAATTACGATGACGGGTTTTCATGAAATAGGACTTCATATTATATCACAATGCATAATCTGTTCCGTTTTTAACTTAAATATTCTAGTATTTTATCATCAAAAATGAACTTTAAAATAATTTAACCATATTTGAAGGATTTTTATCCAAGTATTTAGTAGCTTTAAACGTCATGTAAGCCTAGATAGCACTGATGATAGAATAGTAATTTCGAAAACGTTCTGCGATGTAAACTAATAGGGTTTTTTTATATTTATATACATTTTATAAAGGAATTTTTTTAAATATTTTTTTTTGTGATAAATGGTATACAGCCAGCTACAGGAATTCATTTTCGTTGTGGATAAAAGTGTGTTCAACGAAATCCAAAATAACGAGATAATTGGCCTACAAACTTAAATAAAAAATTTAGTTGGACCTTCTCGTGAACGTATTAAACTTTCTCTATTATAACTCTATAAACTCTATTATACCATTAGGCATACTCTCATATTATTAGGCATACTGTCAATTAATGCATTCAATAAATTATTGCACCGTGTGGACGCACATTTTCATCAATAAGAACCGATGAGGACGCGAATTGTCATTAAGTAGGACGAAACATTCTCTGATTAACCTCGAAAATGGTACAATAATAAGTTCTAAAACTATATCTGTATATCTCTGCGCCATTATTGTCGCCATTGTGCGCCAGTCAATCAATGCGGCCATCAAAATAAATACCACCCCAAACGCAAATAGAGCTTTTCACAAAAGCAGTTTTAGGCTCCCTATAATGTTTATTACACCTCTCTTCTCGTTACCTCTAAACCAAAATACAACCATTGGAATTTTTTATAGTAAATCTAGACTCATCTGTAAATTAAAAGTTTCTCCATTCGTTGATTATCCAGTTGCGGTGTTCTTCAGTCCACAATATTCTCAATCCGCGATGTTCGTAGGTTAGTGCTGTATGAGACGAACTTCTTCTTGCTCTTAAGTCAGTTCTATGCAACCTTATTCTAACATCCACTAGGAAACTAAGTTCTTGAAGCTGGCTGCAGACCATATATCACCAAGTATTTTTTTTTAAAATCCTTTATAAAAGGTATATCATAAAATACCCAAAGGGATAAGTCACAATTACAAAACGTTTTCGGAATCTATATTCCATCATCAGTGTAACTAAGCATACATGTTTTAAGCCACTAAAATATTTGTTATATTATATGTACTTAAAAGTTGAGATGTTTAAGTTACTAGAGAAATGGGTCATATGGCAACGTACATAAGTACGACTACATGAGGTTGCTTGGTTCTGAGACAAAGGTCGCTTTGTCTCAGGAAACAGCAACCTTATGTAGAGTAATGTTGCCATGTCGTGTTGCCATGTCACGTTGCCATGTTACCAATTACACTGGTCACTTAAACATCTCAACTTTTAAAAACATATAATGTAACAGAAATTTGAACTTACAACATTTAACGGGTTTTTACCCAAATATTTTAGTGGCTCAAAACGTGTATACTTAGTTACACTGATGATGGAATTTAGATTCCGAAAACGTTTTGTAATTGTGATATAGTCTGTTTGGATATTTTATGATATACCTTTTATAAAGGATTTTAAATAAATTTTTTTCTTATTTTAACAGTTTGGTTTAAAATTATTCTTCCAGTGGCGTTATGCAATATTCTGTTGGTGCGAGAAGCAATATATGTTGTGTTCGGTACTTCGTTGTCACTCTCCCCGATAAAGTCAAGAAACTACACCATTTGTGACATATTATAGCAAAAATTAAAAGTTTTCAAATTCCGCGATCCATACGCAGTTTAGTAACTCACAGTGATTTATACTGAGCCATAGAAGAAATCGAACCTAAGTAAATACACTCCTACAAAAAGAATTTCAAATAAATATTACACAACCTATCTTTTATATAGGTATATAAATAATTTTCTTAATAATGATAATTTTCTAATTTCTTTCTTCTTCTTCTCATGGCGCCGTCTCCTTTCGAAGGTTGGCGATCCAAATGGCAATTGTGATTTTGGAATATGCTACGCGTAAGATTTCTGCGGATGAGCGGTCGAACCATCTCCTTAGGTCTTTCAGCCGTGAGTTCTGGCGTCTTCTACCGATCTTTTACCATGTACTGTTCCTTCCAGTATAACTTGAAGTAATTCTTATATTTTCGCCTCTCAACACATGACCCAAGTATTACATTTTCCTCTCTTTGATTATTCTTAGTAATTCTTTTTGTTTACACATTTGACGAAGTATCTCAACATTAGTAACTCTTTTTACCCATCTAATTCCCAATATTCGTCTGTATATATACATCTCAAAGGCATCTATTCTTTTTCTATTTCAGAGTCCATTGTTCAACTTTCACAGCCATACAGTAAGACAGAAAAAACGTAACATCTAATCATTCGGATTCTAAGCTGCAGACTAAGGTCTGATCTTGTAAAAAACGTTTTCATGCTAATGAATGTTTTCCTTGCTTGTTCGATTCTTGATAGTATTTCTTTTTTTTTTTTGATTACACTGACTATTGATATTTGCTCCCAAATATTTTATGGAATTTACCTATTCTATCATTTGACCCTTCGCATACACATGTACGTTTATTGGTGTCTTTGAAAATACTAAAGTTTTCGTTTTGGAAACGTTTAGATGTAACCCAAACATTTCGCTGTGGTGAACTACCGCATTTATTACATTTTGTAGTTCTTGTGCGTTGCTTGCTATTAAGACAGTATCATCAGCATATCTGTTGTTGTTTATGCTGATTCCGTTAATCTTAAATCTGCCTTGGACCTGATCCAATGCTTCTCTGAATATAGACTCCGAATATAAATTAAACAGAAGGGGTGATAAGACGCAACCCTGTCTCACTCCTCGTCGGATTTGTATATCTTCGGATGTTGTGTGTTCTAGTTCAATTGTTGCCGTTTGGTGCCAGTATAGTTCTGAGATAATTCGCAAGTCTTGTGCGTCAACTCCAGTTGTTCTAAGAATTTCGATCATCTTTTGATGGTTAACACAGTCAAATGCTTTTCGATAGTCAATAAAACATGCATATACATCTACATTCATGTCTCTGCATCGTTGCGTTAACACATTTAAAGCAAACAGAGCCTCTCGTTTTCCCAATCCGTTTCGAAATCCGAATTGAGTGTCACTCATCTGAAACTTGCACTTCTTGTAAATTCGTGTATGTATAATTCTGAGAAAAGTTTTAAGGACATGAGACATCAAGATTAATATTCGATAATCATCGCATTGTGAGGAATTCGATCTTTTTGGTAATGCTACGAATGTTGATTTTAGCCAGTCTGTTGGTATTCTACCTGTTTCATATATCTTATTGAATAGTGCTGTTATTAAGTCTAGGCTTTTACTTTCGTTATCTGCAATTAGTTTCAGTATTTCGACATTGATATTGTCTGGACCGGTGGCTTTTCCATCTTTCTGAGATTTTACTGCGTGAATCACTTCTTTTTTGGTTAGTTTTGGGCCTTTTTCATTTATTCGATTATCTGTGGATGGTGGAGAACAAGGTCTATCTTGATCAAAAAGTGTTTGTATGTATACTTTCCATCTCTTTAGTTTGTTTATTTCGTTATTTTCATTTTTTAATATTGTTGCTTGTCTCCTTTTGTGTCTACCTGTCATTTCTTTTACTTTTTTATGAATATTAAAGGTGTCGTATTTTTCTTGAAGTTGTTCGATTTCTAGGCATTTTTTTGACATCCAGTTTTCTTTTGCCTCCCTGCACGTTTTCTAATGATTTTATTGATTCGCTTGTATTCTATTGGGCTTGTTTTATGTTTTCGTCTTACGTCCATGAGGTCCACGATCTCTTGCGTTATCCGTTCTTGTTTTTTGTTGTGTTTTATGTACCCGATGTCTTCTTCTTGTGTTTTTGTTATTTTTGTTTTTAGAGCAGTCCATGTCACTTCAATGTCTGTCTGTACCAAGTTTTCGATCGTTTTTATTTCTTCCTTAAGCTCGATACTTATTTCTTTTTTCTGTTCAGGGTTTTTTAGTTGTGAGATGTATAGTTTTCTTGTCACTGTTTTCTTTTTGACTTTGAGAAATCTTTTTAATCTAAAATCCATTATAACTGGATTGTGATTGCTATGTATATCAGCTCCAGGGTATGTTTTCGCAGATTGTATGTACTTCTTAAATGTGTTATTGAGCAAAATGAAGTCAATTTGATTTCTAACAATTTTGTCTTTTCTG